TTAAGATGACACCTTTTTGGTGTGAGATTCAAATTCATTGGAAAAATATAGATTTTTTTAAACAAGGAAGTAAAGGATGACATAGTATTTGGAGTTGAGCTTCAATTGAAATATTATATCAGAAAAAGATAAGAAGAGATCTTGATGGGGTTCTGATGTAAAGATGGTACTATCTTGGTGTGAGCTTCAATGGAAAGATTGCGACTTAGATTTTTTTTAATAAAAAGGAAAATACTTGATGGTGGTTAGATGAACTTTCACAGAAAGGGAAACAGAAAACGAACAAGCTTGTTGGGTAAAGATATCATCATTGGTGTGAGATTCAATAGAAAGATTTTTACTTTTCAAAGTAAAAACATGTTTTTTGATGAAGTTCAAAGTAAAAACATGTTTGTTGGGGTTTTGCAGGTGGAAGAGTGCTAACATGGGGGAGGGGTAATTCTGGTCAGTTAGGCCATGGGGAGATGGTTAACTGTTTACATCCAAAGTCAGTAGAGTCTTTGGAAGGCGCCTTCATTACACATGCTTCTGCTGGATGGAATCACTCAGGATTTGTTTCAGGTTTCATTCTTTCTGCTTCAGCTATGAATCTAATATGACATTGGATTGTTATTTTTCATACTATCAGTTGTTTGGTTCCGAAATACTTTATTACTCAGTTGGTCTTATTTGGATATTATTAATTATATTGTAATTGAAAGTTCGTGCACTGACATTTCAATTATGTTTTGTATTAATTGACATGTTTTCTTCACTGCCATAATTCCTTTTTCAAAACTACTTTGATTTGTTGCACTTGAGCCGAGGGTCTTTCGAAACTGTTTCTCTACCTTCCCAAACCCACTTGTGGGATTACATTGGGTATGTTGTTGTTTTTGGGCTTCCCAAGTTAAAGTTAACTCCTTGACGCTTAGGGTACATTGAAATGTGCAGATACTACAGCAGAAATCTGTATATCCTTGTTAGAAGCCATCTTTGTGCACTAGGTTACTCGTAAAGGTCTTTTCCTGATGATAACTGAAAGCTTTTGGGAAACAGATGATATGAAATATTTTGTGACCATTAATAGGGGGAAAAAAAGATGATATGAACTTTTGAAACTACATTTTGGTTTAGTATATTCCTGAATGTTATATGTTCTCTTGCTGCAATTTTGACTCTGAATAATTGTGGTATATAACTGGAGGAATCTTGTTTAGTTGAATACCTGTTTTAATTTGCCTTAAGAGTGTAAATGTTTTACAATTACCAGATACTGGTTACGTATTCACTTGTGGAGATGGTTCATTTGGTCAGCTTGGGCATGGGGATTATATCTCAAGATGTTCTCCTGTACAAGTGTTGCACTTCAAGGCTAGGCATGTCGAGCAAATTGCTTGTGGTATGCGTCATTCACTTGTCTTACTAAAAGGTAAAGCAGGCTGAATATTGCACTTTTTGTCTAGCTGGTTATATTAACATTGTAACACTGTTGCTGCTTTCTGAGAACGCTGTGTGCTGCATCTCTGTTCTCATTTGTATAATTGGCCATAGTTTTGTCATTTTCCATAATAGTGTGATAGTGCTTTGAAGCTTCTCTTAAAACTCTCGCTAGCACTATACAGCTATAATTAGATGGGTTATTGCCATGAGTGATGAGCTTGAAATGAAATCAAATTGTTGTGAGTTGTGACTAGTCACAGCAATCAGGTCTTTTAACATAAGAACTCCAGAGATTACTGCATGGTGAAGTAATCAAGTTGAGTATGCCAATAGTTTCTTTATTCTCGTTGTGACAACAAAACTAGTATAAATTAATTCAGTGCGAAATTCTGCATTCTCTCGTACAGTTGTGGAAAACGGAGTTCTTTAGCTAGTTCTGTACTAACCTTAACATCTGTCTGCACCATCATATCATTAAGCTGGTTTTATGAGATATATCACAAATATCATAAGCCAGTAAGAATAATATAAATGAATTATGTGTGTCATAGTTAACGACACAATTCAAGAACAGATTGCTCGTTATAGTACAATACTTAATAATTTCTATATATCTGGTTTCATATCAGGCTATCACCTTGTTAGGATAGAAAAAACAGGTTGATTAGAGTTTTTCTTAAAATTGTACTCATCGATTTGGAAGCAAGTAATTTTACCACAATGCTTGTTCATACACTTGTCTCAACATAAGCATGTACATTGAATTTGTTGAAGCTGATTTTTCACTACAATCAACTTCTTAGGAGATACAGAGGATCTTATCTACGGATTTGGTTCCGGAAAACGTGGTCAACTTGGTATATCTGATGACAAACAGAAGACAGTTAGCACTCCTCAAGTTACTTTGGGTTTTGAAAATGTCAAAATCAGGAGTGTCACTGCAAATGGAGATCACAGCACAGCAATAGCCAGTAAGTTTCTAAGTGCTCTTATGTAATCCAATACAAATGATACTGGCCCAACCTTTATCTGGTCTCAGCATTGGCTACTTGATGGTTGTAGCTTCATCCCGTTAATGAATGATAATCTTATCAAGTTGGTGATACTTTTACTTGTTATATATTGCTAAGATTTTTTATCTTTTTTTTTTTAAGTGAATGGGCATTTATATATATGGGGAAGAGCATTTCATGGAGCCCCCGATGTGTATACTCCCCGCCGTGTTACTGCAGACTTATTATTCAGCCAGGTCGCATTAGGATGGAATCACGCTCTTGTATTGACAGGTATTCTGGGCTTTAGATCTCAATTATTGCTTTGAAGATACATGAAGGGAATATTACAAGGTATATAGAAATATAAATACGTCCTCTTTACCATTTTAATAGGTGATGGGGAAGTATACATGCTTGGCAAGTACAATTATAATGTTCCTACTGGTGCTCAAAAAGCAAACGGGATGAAGTATATATCTGGTAATGATCTTCAATTACCTTTCTGTGTAAACTTTTGTAAAATTTTTTGGATCTGTCGTCTCTTTCTCCTGCTTCTTTAGATTGGATTTTCACAGTGGATGGTCTTTACTCTTAACTTGATTGAATCCTTGTATGAAAGAAGTAGATCTACCTCTCTTAATTAAGTTGAAAGGTGAAAATGATGCTGCAAATACTTTATACTAAACTTCTCATAAAATCATGTGTTTATATGTGGTCACGAGTTGTCATACTGACCATCCATTTGCAAATCCCTGTTTCGCCCGGTACCTTGCTTTCTAGCCTGCTTTGGTAATGCGTCACTGTGTCAAGGGTCTAGCGGGAACAGCCTCTCTAACCCACTAAGGTAGTGGTAAGATCTGTGTACATCTTACCCTCCCCAGACCCCAACTTGTGGGACTACACTGGGTATATTGTTATTGTTGGTTTGGCCGATTACTATGACCTCTATTAGTAATAAACTTATAGGAAGCACCAAAATACGGATAGTACTGCCTGCTGTGTTTCATCAAATTCAATGATATTAAAAGAGGGGAAAAGTACTTTTCCAAATATATGATGGAAAGAATATCAGATACATTCAGAAGTCCCACAGAAGAGTTAAGGTTACCTGTGTGTAGTTAATATTTGAAGAGGAAAAACAGTAGACTTCTTAACCTGAAATGGAAAGAATATCAGTTGTCGACCCAAAAGTCTATTAAAAGAGTTAATGTTTGCTGAGTCTACTGAGCTCAGTTGCATACAAAAGAACAGCAGTCCAACAATAATTTGGCTTAGTGGGAGTCAACTCTCCAAAACATAATGTCAAGCCTCATTTATTGGACACAAACTTGCAGTTTTCACCCTCTTAAATGTCTCTAAGACTTGTTATCAAATTGAAAATCTATGATTTTTGCTATTTGATGGCTTAATCAGTCAGCCAATTAGGTCTCACTCACAAACTAGTTGAGATCGATATGAATCTTCCATATCTATTTCATTTGAATAGGTCTGTTTCATTTCAGTACTGGTAAATAGTTTTAAGGCAAATTCAGGGTCCTCTAAATCTTAACACTTATTCTTATCCACACCAAATGTAAGGTAATAACAATTAAGCCTAACTATTTAATGGTTTATTCTATTTGAACTTTCAAATCATATTGTAACAAGTATCTGCCCATGGCTCCATCACACACATTTTGCACTCTTGAAGCTGAACACAACTTTGTCTCATTTGCACAGAAGATGAAGGTGTCATGCAAAGAGTCCTCGACTTTTATAGTAAAAAGGTTGTCCAAATTGGTGCAGGAGCTGAGCACTCTGCCGTGGTAACAGGTGAGGATCTGATGCAAACGTTTATTGTTACAAACCATTAATGGCATATTCACTCGTCTTCACTTCTGTATTATTTCAACTTTTCAGCAGATGACGGATCAGTAATGACATGGGGTTGGGGTGAACATGGTCAGCTTGGTTTAGGAGATACAAACGATCAAACTAGCCCTCGTGTTGTAAGTTTATGCAATGAACAGTCCAGGAAACCATGTGTTGGTAGAGTTTATTGTGGCAGTGGTTTTACATTTGTTATCAGGACGTATACCTTGAAGTCCAGTTTCTAATATAGCGATGTTCAGTATTTGAAATGTAATTGCTCACTATGTTGCTTATCAAAATAATCACAAGGCATTTTCTTTATCAATTGCCTTGTTGCAAGCAATGTCAATGTACAATCTGTGTATGCAACATTTCTCCTCTAAAAATCAGCAACAAACCAGCTGAATACAACAACATACCTAGTGTAACCCCACGAGTGGGGTTGGTCTAAGGAAGGTAGGTTGTACGCATACCTTACCTATACCTCTGTGGGCTGTTTCATAGACTCGTTTCAAACAAACCAGCTAAATGTGTACAGTAAATAGATAGGAAAACATGATACAGAAAAGAATATCACTGCCTTGGAAAGAATAATTGATCCAAATTAGCTCAGATATTTGGAGCACATGCTCACTTTACATGGCTGAGAATCAGATTCTGTACCAGTTGTGTGTGTCAAAGAATGAAAGGAAACTACAAAATTCAACGATGGAACCTACTATTACACGTCAATCAGATTCTTTCGTGACATTCGCTGCTTGGGAGTAATTACAAGACAACAACACATAGGATCAGTTACTAATCTATCAGTTCCTAGAGTAACTTTTCTGCGACTTGCTGTTATGTGACAATGAGAAGATTATTTTCATGTCCATTGTTGTGAACAACAGGCCTCAAAGGATCAACCTTCCATATGCCATCAACAATGAATTTGATCTGCAACAAAAGAATGAGATGACGGCAACGACTTCAAAGTTTGAAATACACTATAACCTTTAATATTAAGTTCATACTTTACATTACAGGGATTACACACCTCATAGCTGCCTGGGTACAACTTTAGGCTAACAGAAAAAACACCAGTGCGCAATTTCTCCATCTTCCTCTGTAAGTCAATACAACATATCATTCTATTAACAAAGGACAAGAAGCCCATTGAAACTATTACCACAAAATTTTGTTTTTATTGTGAAAGCGGGTTTATAGAACTGCAGAGTTTTCAATATTAGGAGACACAAGTGGTTTGAAAAATTAATGAAAAAAACATTATACTGTTAAACAGACGACTTCTTGGCTCTTGTACAGAACATTGTGTAGTAGCTAGGAGAACCCACATAGGCTCAAGGACGGCCAGTTGACTATTACTTCTTATACATATATATTAAACCCTGAACACCCTTCGTAAAATTTCTGGTTTTGACTACTTCCAAATTAAGTTTATACAGAAACAACGTCTTGACACCAACAATGAGAAATGCATCAAATTTGTATTTTCTAACTATTTGTCAGCAAAAAATTTCCTCCTATTTCAAAATGTTGCCTCCCAAGTATTTCTTATCACATATGGGGAATAAGATCAAACCTGAGTTGTCCATCCATCAAAAGAGCCTGTTAGAAGAACCTCTGAGGCAGAGTTATGCCAAACAATCTGAGTAGTACGAAGAAACTGTAAAGCTTTCCTAGCACCATCAATCCTCTTCTGCTTCTTTGCCAGCAATTTCTCTGCATCACTGAAAGAGTAGGGTGCGGGGATTCAGTATTGGTGGGTATATAGTATAAAATGAATGATAAAGGAATGAGAAATGATACAGACGTCAATGTTAACGCCACCTTCCCCTCAAGTATTGCAAGTTTTGCACGTATGGCCCGCAATCTCTTCTGAGCATTTATGACATCATTCTCCTGGAACTCCCGTGCATCAGAAAGCTTCTGAAAATCACTAGGGGATTTTCCAAGAACCTGAGAGAACATTTCTAAACAGTGACGAGCTTCATCCCGCAAAAATACCAACCAACAGAAAACTTCAAATACAATTCTCTCCTTGGTGGCAGGTGAAATGAAAATTTTGCTGTTAGATCATTTTCTATTCTTTGGGAGAGGATGTGGGAGTACAAGGAAGAAGCATCAGCCTATCAGGTTATTGAGTTCAAATCCCTGATAGGAGTGAATTCCCTGTGTTCTGAGAGGTCCTATAAGAAAATATCTTGAGGTAGAACAAGAACTGGGCAGACTTAAAAACATATTTAACAGAAGCAACCGACATCAATTGTTTGGGTGGAAGAATCGCATTACAGCAACAAATACAGCTAGTCAAATCTCCATGCTACATAACAAAACATAACATAAAAGCATATCGTAGTAGGAAAATTAACATTATGATGCATGGCAAAAGAAAGATGCGATTCTGAACAAACAGGAGATGCAGATTTCTACCTCCATTGAACTGAACTCTTGGCTCTTGGATCTCAGGGAGCGAAGTGTTGAGGATAGCTCAAGCTCTAAATGCTGAAGACGAGTACTTATATCATTATGGTTGTTATATATCCATCTTTCCGGAGTTTCAGAACTATTCTCTGTGACGGTAAATACATCATCTCTTGAAGTTTCAGTTTTACCTCCATTTGGTCTCATATCAAAATCTACCTCACCAACTGTGCATGGAAGGGGTCAAATTGAGGCTACAAACTATGAACATGATTAGATTCAGGGAAGCGAATACCTTCAAAATCTGTGCCTTCAGGGCATGCACGTTGAGTGCTCCATGATCTCCACATATCTGGCGTGTATTTGTGGTTAAGCTGACCTCCTGAATCACTTAAACCGCCTTTCTTGGGGCTACATGTCGTGAGGCCTCCATTTTTTCCCAGGTCAGTCCTGTATGGATCTCTACCTGTAGTACTGGTTCCAGAGCTTCTGTCATCAATGTTATCCCTACTTGAATGATTAGCTCCATATCCATATTTGCTAGTATTAATACCAAGAGATGAGATTCTCTCTTTCTCTAATCGGTTCAATATCCCTTCAACCACGCTATCTTCCTCAACCACAGCTTCTCTAACACAAGGCAAAGGAAAGTAAGATACTACAGCAATTAACAAATTTTCACATAAACCCGATGTAATCAACGATGAATGGCAAATAAATTGGATCACAATAAACACTTAGAAAACAAAGAATCCTTATATTTTTGGCTCAAAGTAGAAGTTTATCTACTAATAGCAAAATCTTTCGAGTGACAAACACTATTCTTTATCAACAAGAACCAAGATAAAAAATGGACAAAAGAGAGGAAACACGATAAACAATAAGCAAAAGCACATTTTGCAAGGAGGAACCTCACAGTGATCTACCAGAGGAGGAAGCTGGCTGAGAAGAATCCCCAAACGGAAAATCAGAACCAGAATCACTTTCTTGATATTTCTCTACTCAGGAAGCACTTAACAAATTTTCACATAACAACAACAACATACCTGGTGTAATCTCAAAAATAGGGTTAGGATAAAGTGTATGCAGACCTTACCACTACCTTATAGGTAGAGATAGGTAGAGAGGTTGTTTACTATATACCCTCAGCTCAAGAAAAAAAAACAGTCCAAAGTATAGAGAAAGAAATAATAGAAATGAAGACACAACATACAACCTGACAAATCATCCTAAACAATAGTCATAGCAAGATACAACGATAATCAAAGTGTAAGAAAAACACAAATAATAACCAAACTCAAAGGACAACCTCCAACACTAATATATGTCCTCCATAACCACCTATCTAAGGTCATGTCCACGGAAAGCTGAAGCAGCTACATGGCATGTCTAATCACCTCTCCCTAATACTGTTTCGGCCTATCTCTACCTCTCTTGAAACCATCCATTGCCAACCTCTCACACCTCCGCACGGATGCTTCGGCCTATCTCTACCTCTCTTGAAACCATCCATAGCCAACTTCTCACACCTCCGCACGGGGGCATCCGTGCATCTCCTCTGCACATGCCCAAACTATCTCTGCCTCGATTCCCACATCTTGTCATCTATTGAGGCCATTCCTATCTTGTCCCAGATATCTTCATTGTTAATCTTGTCTCTCCTAGTATGCCCACACATCCATCTCAGCATCTTCATCTCTACTTTCATCTTCTGAACGTGGGAGTTCTTGATTGGACAACACTCCGCTCCATACAACATGGTATGTTTAACCACCATTCTGTAGAACTTGCCTTTAAATTTTGGTGGCACCTTCTTATCACAAAGGATTCCAGATACAATAAACAATCCATGATGAATGAATGACAAACAAATCGAATCACAATAAACACTTCGAAACAAAAAAAAATCCTTCTTATAACTTCTATATTTCGCTCAAAGTAAAAACTTTTCTACTAATAGCAAAATCCTTAGAGTGACACACTATTCTTTATCAACAATTACCAAGATAAACAAACACACAAAAGAGACAAAACATTATGAACAATAAACAAAAGCACATTTTGCAAGGAGGAAACCTCACAGTGATCTACCAGATGAGGAAGCCGGCTGAGAAGAATCCCCAGACGAAAAATCGGAACCAGAATCACTTTCTTGATATTTCTCAACTCTTCTTCGTAACTCCTCAATATCAAAATCCATTTCCTCAGCCTCAGGAACATTTTCTTGGTCAGTGGGAGGTTCCTCTTCTGAGTCCCAACCAAACGAATACCATCCACCCCTATTCCTAATAGCCTCAATCAAATCAACTCTTCCTGCTTTTTCCAAATCTTTCCTAGTTGGAAATGCATCTGGGTTCTGAGACTTCTCCATAAAGGCTAAAATTTCCGCCTCTAACTTCATATCACCTTCACTTAGCGACCCTTCTCCACAGCAACAACAACATACACTATGCTCTTCTTTTCCCTTTCTAATTAGCTCAACAAACTTCAAAGAACACATCTTTTTACCCAAAACAAGTTCAAAACCCCCAGATTTTCTCTGAAAATGAACTCTTTTTCTTGGGTTTAGGACAAAAAATTTACAAGGGGTAGCAGGTAAACTCAAAAATGAGCAGAAATTATAAGGTCTAGCGAACTGGGTCAAAACCATCGTTCAGGCATTTCTTCAAACAAATGGTGAACAAAACAATCCCAATAAACTTAAAACAAGAAAGAGAGAAGGAAAAAGGCAAAACAAGAAAAGAACAATGCAGCAGTAGAAGAAATAGCGTAAAATGCAAACAATTGATAGAGTTGATAACTGTGAGCAACACAGTTTATATTAAAAAAATGATTCTTTCCCACACGTCCCAATAACAATATGTGAGCTACCCAAGATCCCAATTCTGACCAGTATTTTCAAGATATGGTTTTTCTAAGGGTAAGGCCTGTGTCTCTCAGTATGGAGAAGGAAACAAGTGAAAATAGAACCTTGACATATATATGTCTATGGCCTTTGGCAACCGGGGGCGGCTCAACGTAATCGGAGGCCTAAAGCGAAATCTTAATTAGAGGCCTAAAATCTAAATAAACTTCACATGCATTTATTTAAAATTTATTTTTCTTACATTTTTAAGTGCAAAGTATTACTTAATATTTTTTTTATATATAAATGATTTATTCGATTTCTTTTTCAATTATTAGTTTTAAATAAGATTTTATTAATTCAACGTTGAAAAATATTATTTTACTTGGGCAATCATTTTATGAATTGTTAACATAGTTCTACAAGTAATAAGTTGACAGATTTCAAATAAATATAAGAGTTAGAACCATAGCTTTGATGAAGTTGATAATTTGGTTACCCCACATTTTACTATGGTTGTTGTAATGCTTGAAAATCTAAGAAGAAATGGAAAAAGAATTTACAATTCAATTTGTTCAATACTTTTCGACTATTAATTGATGTTTTTGACAGAATATTACTCTAACTTATCAACAATTTAAAGAAGAGAGTGTAAAAGGAGTTAAAAAGAAAATAATGTGAGTATTAGTAGAGAGTGGAAGAAAATAAAACAATATTTTCTTGATTTCTTCTATTTGAATGGGGTTGAAGAGAATAAAATAATAATTTTAAATATATACTACTTTTTATCGTAAATAATCAATATTTTTTTATAAAAATTAACACATAATTTATTCTTGGTAAAAAATTGAGGCCCCCTGAAATTGGGGGCCTAAGGCCAATGCCTTATTAAAATATACATAGAGCCGGCCCTGTTGGCAACTATTTGGATTAAGATAGTGTTTAGTTTTATACTAGTATTTACTAGTTTGGGGAAAATTATAAAGCACATTTATTTATTATCTAAAGGGGTTGAGAAAACATTTTTGGGATAAAATCTTGCATAAATAATGTTATATGGATTTTGTTAAGATGTAGTAGCACTAGAAAAATAATTATTGTTTGGTCATATAAGAAAAAAAAAAGAGAGTTTTACACCCTATTAACATTATAGAGTTCTAATTACATGTTATATAAATATTTTTTAATAATTACATTGCATCACAAAACTTCTCTTGATTTTCAATTTCAATTTTTTGCAATTTTCTCTCTCCCTTTATCTTTTTCATCAGACTATGTTAAAACTGAGAAAAATTGATATTTATCATAGTTTGTGGGATTTTTATTTTATAAAAAAAAATACAACATAAAAAATTTATATTATATGTTTAAATTCATATTAATCTGATTTCATATAGCATGTTCAAACGGACCCGCATCTTTATTTTCTCATATAATATTTGATTTGATGTTTAAGATACATAGATCTAAAAAGGCTTTGATTTGATCCATCAACTCGTTAGCAAGGGCTAAAAGTAAAAGGATGAGCCTAAAAAGCAGCTGAGTTTGCATATTTAAAAATAAAAATACCCTTTAAATAAGTAGTTCTTTTATAACAATATTCCTTAATTATTATTTTTAGGAAAAAAGGTCTGAAAAATACTTCAATTTTGACCGAAATTATTGTTACGATACCAAACTTTATGGAGGATATTTACCCCCTGCACTAGTTAATAATGTATTTAAAAGGTATATATGTGTTCACGTGGACACGTTATTATTTATAATCATCATTGAGTTTTAATATACAAATCATTCTCAACAAGGTCATAAAAAATATCTCGTTTTCTTCATCGAGTTCTAATAAAGATCAAAAACCTACGACAATTGATTCTGCAAAACAACTCAGAAGATAAAGAAAAGTATTGTTAGCATCTTATGTTTTTATCCTAACGTGATAAAAATAGTGGAATCACTTCTTATGAATTCGTTGAAAATGATTCCAATTCAATTCATGAAGAGTACAAGGTAAATTCAAAAGATCTAAGTAAGTCCAAAGCCTCATCATCTATTGACTCGTTAAGTGAAGTTAAAAAGAAGTAAAATCACAGTTTAATGATTTGTCTATCGACTAACAAATTTAAAATAACAAAGAATTATCAGTATTTTATTAGCATTTCTCCCAACCTCCCTATATAATAATGAAAAAAATGTGAAAATATTTTAATAATAATAATAATTATTATAATAAATTTTCACCGACATTGCCACAAATAGGTCCTATCAAAAATCACCATGATTCATGAGTGTCTCTTCACAATCATTTCTTCAAAAAGTAGAAAAATGTACTAATCCTAGTGTACAACTATATATAAGAAATTATATTTATATATTCTAATAATAATCCACAATAATTGAAGGTCTCTAATCTACTTTTTAAAGTAAAATATTTGACAACAACAAATTATCTCATTTTGCTTATAGACTCCAAAGTTAAAAAGGGAAGTTTTATCATCTATATCAATGTCCATTAAATAGTTGAGAACACAAGTACAGTATATTGTTTTGTTTTTTCAACACAAAAGGTTAAAATAAATATTTATTGGAATTAATAATTTAGTGGCAGGGACTTTCCCATTTTGTCTTAATAAGAATATTTATATTTAACGTAATTTAGTGGATGATTTTCAATGAAAACACGTTCTATGATATGGCTATTTTTGTTTTTAGTTGTTTCTTGTTTGATAGCACTCCATATAAAGTTATATTCTCCGTTTTAAATTATTGATTGTATTTCTCTTTTTATCATTTTTTCAAGATTATTCTTTTTAGTTTATATTAAGTGAATTATTGAGATTATTTTTTTATAGTTCAAAATAAGTGAATTATGTGAAGTTTTAAAAAAAAATTGGACTTTTTTTCTTCATATTTATTCTTGATTTAATGAGCTTCTTAACTATTTTACATTTTTTTTAAATTATTTGAAATTAATCAAAAATATAATAGTGGAAACAGAGGCGTATCCAGGAGGGGGTCATCGGGTTCACTTATTACCATGCTCTCCTCTTGAAATCATAAATAGTAGTGTTATATTTTTAAAAATATTTAAACATAGATGTGTGAACCACACTGAAAGCATCATATAATGTCGTGCGATGATGATTTTGTGCACCTCTCTAAGTGAGGCTAGAAATTTAAATCTTTTATTTATCTTGTTTTATTTTCCTTTCTAAAATTGGGAAACGCCTCTCTAAGTGGTTTGGATAGATAAAGAATAATTTTGGACCTATAATTTTAAATTTTTAATGATTTTTAGTGATAAGAACCTAAATGTTAAACTGATCAAATTTATATCTTAGATCCACTTTTTCGTAATAGTACGTCCATCATCTCAAAATCATGAATACGCTCTGAGTGGAAAGTAATCTTTAAAGTATAACCTTACATATTTTGTTTTAAGGAGTGTATCATAATCATATTCACGTAATAATTTATATGGAGGAGTATTATTTAGGAGTTTTTTTTCAGCCAAGATCACTACGAGGGGTGTCAGATATGTGTGTTGGGTTGAAATTGGAGATATTAAAATGAGTTGAAATTGAAATCATGTTGGGTCTTGATCAGCCCAAGTTTACTTTGGGCTAAAATGGGTTGGGTTCAAATGGGCTAAAAAGCAGGTTGGGTCTTGACCCGTCCAATTTGACCCGATTAATCTCAATAATTTTAACATAGTGATATTTAACTTTTATAATCACAATTCGAATTTCAGCTCACGATTTTTTTTTAAAAAAGTAACAAATGGATAGATAAAATCCTAAAAGATGTTAAATAAATAATAATTAATACCTTTAAAATATAGGAACATATTTTAGTAAAGAATTTTAAAACTAGTTGAAATTGGAGATTGAATTAGGCTCAATTGAGGATTCTCTTAAAATGGGTTAGGCTTGAATGAGTTGAGATTGAACCCAATTCAAATTATATTGAGCCCAACCCTTAAAATTTTGGACGGGTTACCTATGTTTGGGTTCATTTTTGACACCCCTAATCACTACTCCAATGTATATTATTTGGTGCCTAGAGTTAATATTCTAATTAAATTTCACGTAAATAATATTCCTTTCTATCCATATTATATGTAGTATTTTTAGCTTTGACATCGTATTTCTTAAGAAATTCGTTCACACTTTAAAAGTAAAAAGTGATTTCACTAAATTACATGTGATTACTATTTGCATCTTTATAATTTCACAAATTATGAACATTGGAATTTGAAGGTATTAGATGGCAAGAATTATCAATGGAAACAAACAAGTGGACATAATTACTTGATGCAAGTGATAAATATCTCGTAGAATTAATCGAGATGTGTGAAAGCTAGCCTGAATACCTCGGTCATAAAAATAAAAAAAACATGTGTGCCTTGAAAAAATAGTATATACTTAATATTCTCTTTAGTTCAATATAAATAAATGACAGAATTCATCTGTAATCCCTTAAAGTTAGCATCAACTTTCACTTAAACATTTCAATTAGAGTTTTGTTGTGTCACTTTGATATTTTGTGTTGACTTAACACATTTTGTGTGCTACACCGATTTTTAGTGCGTGAGGAGCGCTTTTTTTTTTCATCTTCTTCATTCTTTATCTCTATCACCTACTCCACCTCTCATCCTGAAAAAACTTATAAAATATGAAAGAACGGAAATTTTTTTTTGTCTATGATATAGTGCCCGTTTGGATTGGCTTAAAAAAGTAGTCTCTCTGTCCCTAATTACTTGTCCACTTTTGAATTGACACACTTATTAAGAAAATAATTATTGACAATGAGTTTACCATTTTACCCCTATTAATTATGAAGTGGGTGAATTAAAAACTTACTAATATTTTAAAAAATTCTACCTTTTTCAAAG